CACCAGGGTTAGAATCTGCTTCTTACTAACTGTGTGACCTTCAGCAAATTAACTTCTCTGAACCCAGTGCTGTCAGAATCATATCAGACAGTGCGTGTAGAAGTGGTGTGCACACAGAAAGCCTGTCATATGTAGCTAGATGATCTGATAAACAGTTCTGAAGCCACTCTATCTTCCGGGACAGGCCTCTACCCAAGCAAGAAAGAAGCCTAATTCAGGACTCTAAACAAAGGAGGCTATTGTTAAAGGGAGTTAATTGGGTGCCTTCTATGACCCTACCTCTCAGCTTATTTATTTTAAAGGTAGGTTTAAACTTTTTTTTCATATTAGTTTTTTATCTGCCACTTTGCAATTCAGTCATGTTTTGCTTCTTTCTCAACCCAAGCTTTGATGTTAAGAAGTGCAGGCCAACCTAGAGCTGTGGCTGGGAACTCCGGTCCTCCATGCAGGGACACTTGGGTCTGCATCCGGCCTCTCCCTCTTCCTTTGGGTGACCTGAGCCACTTGTTTCACCTCTTTAAGCCTCAGTTATTCCTCTGCTTGGAGTTGCAATCACGGTAATGTGTGGATGACTTGGTATGAGTGCTCTATTAGTGGTAGCTGTCACAATGAAGCAGAATTAAACAGATTCTTAGTAAGCACGTCTGGTTCTGGGCCCTGTACCTCTGTGTGTGTGTGTGTGTGTTTGTGTGTGTGTGTGTATGTGTGTGTGTTTGTGTGTGTTGGGGGTGCTCTTTGCTCCTGGGCTTTGACCTTGGCAGTCTTACCTCTTGGTTGGGACAACGTATCTTTCCAGCGTGTACCTCTCTGCTCCTCCAACCTCAGTCAATTATTTCAGAACTCAGGGGAATTAGAGAATGAAAACCCTGGCTCTGAGAACATGCGGTTGGTTCACATTCCTCTAAGGGGTGTTTTCTCCCCAGAGAAACAGAGACAGGTGGCTGCTTAGGGAGTGGGGACTCGGCCCAGCTGTGATGGGGCGGAGGTGGGACCAAGAACAACTTGTTCTCTGAGACTACACAATGGGGCTGCTCAGAGAAACTGTGGGAGGAAGGTGGGAGGGAAGGACACTGCTTTCAAATTTATTTTAAAGGTGGGAATGCCAGCTTCCACTTCTAGTGCTGCCTTTGACTCATTGTCCAGGGCATCAAGCTAGCTTGAGGGATGAGTGACTTCTAGGGGGAGCTTCCAGACAGCGTAGGTGTGGGGAAGATGGCTGAGGTCACCTGGGTAATGGTGAGAAGAGAGGCTAATCTATGGTTGTTCCTCTCTGTGAGAAATCAAGACCTCCAGCAGGGGGCAGTAATGTCTTTCCTAACTAGTAAATCATTACCAAAGAATGCCCTTTAAAGCTCTGGATCAGCTTAGAGCAGTGACTTTTTTACTGTGAGCCTCAGTAAGTAAGAAAGGCACTTCAGGTTGTATCCCATTATGAACATGCACAGACATACATATATAATAGGTTTGACAAAACACCATTTATTCCTTACAACATGAAATGTACTCTGACACATTCTATTCTATTTATTTTTTAAACATTCTATTCTAGTTAAAAAATATCCAATTTATGGCTCACTAAATGGATTTTTTATTCACTGACCTGTAGTCTGAAAAGCACTGACCTGGAGGGAGAGTTCTATAAAAGTGCAGAGGAGTTCTGGCCTTTGGTCTTCTTAACATATCATTTGGACAACTTTGTGAGACCAGAGAAAGTGTACATGTCAAAATAAAAATAATTTTTGACACTGAATGCATGTTATACACTAGGTCCTATATAAAACCTTTGTGAGGACTCTCTCTTGTAGTCCAACAACAATTTGGGGCAGATCCTATTACATTTTGCCACCAATGAGGTTTAGAAAATTCCAGTTAGTAAGTGGTAGAGATGAGATTTGAACCTGTCTCTCTGATGCTATAACTAGAGTGCTAAACCATTACATTATATTGTGTGTCTATGTCAGGTGACACATTTTTGGGAGAGATTCTATCACTAATGTGATCATGAATAGAAGCTAGATTAAAACTTATTTCAGCAGCCTGCAATATTGGGCTGAAATCAACATGGTATTTCTAGTGGATCAAAAAATGGATTACTGCAGAACAAGATTGGGGAGACCTGATTTTCCAAGAGGTCCTGAAAAAAT